GCCCGGGCCAGCGCGTCGTTGGCAGGGTGCCCCGTGTTGACGTGGAGCTGCAATATGGCGGACTTGAGCGCCCGCTCCTCCGCCGCCGTTAAGGCTGGCTCGGCGGGGGCTGCCGGGGCAGGCACTGTCCTTCTCGCGGCTCTCCGTCTCGCTGGTTCCGCGGGGTTTGCCTCGCGGTGCTCGGTCTCGTTCGTCTCGCGAAGCTGCTTGACCAGCGCGGCGACGAGCTTGTCGGTGTAGTTCTCGCTGTCCTTGGCAAGCTTGCCGCGGGCCTCGACGTGCTTGTGTAGGCCGTCGCAGAGCTTGTGCAGCGAGTTGTCGATCCCGTAGTGGTCGGTGATGATCCTCCACGGCTTCTTGGTCGCGTCCCCCTTCTTTGTCTGCAGGCCGTAGGCGCAGCCGTCGACATCGATGATGCGCGGGAGCTGGTCCTTCAACTTCTTCGCGGTGTAGTTCTTCTTCTGGTCCCAGCCGTCGCAGCAGCGCGGCCACTCGAAGGAGACCGCGAGCTGGCTGCCGAACTCCTTCCGCAGGCGGCTCATTGACTTCAGGAAAAGGTCGATCATCCTCGCGGAATGCTTCCGATCCTTCTCTAGCTTCTCGGCCTTGCCGGGGTCGATCTTCAGGATGATGCGCTGCAACGCGGTCCAGGGCGTGCGTGGAAATGCGGCGTGGACCCGTGCGCTCTGGCCCTTCCGCAGGTTCTTCCGGATCTTGCCCTCGAGCTTCTCGACGATGGGCTTCCGAGAAAGGTCGTACCCAGGAAGACCGCAACGTACAGCAGCTCCTCCACTCTCGGTCCACTTCGCGCTGAGCTTGCTGTCGGGGTTGCAGCACCGCTCGTAGAGGATAGTGGCGTTGCTCGAGATTTCGCTCGAGCTCGTAGTTGACTTGGCCAGGTCTGCCTTGAGCGCCTGGCTGACCGTGTGCGGCTGGACGCCGTTCTTGTTGGTGACGATGGCCGACCGCTTGCCGGCGGTCAGCTGCAGCTTCGTCCCCTTCTTGAGCTGACGTACCTTCATCTGCTCTTCCTCCACGATGTTGACCTCCTTCGGCTCGATGTCGTTCTTGATGTCCAGCGTGACCGAGTTGCCGAAACACACACTCGAAGCAGAACCCGAGGTGGCAACAGTCTGTGTAGGACTTGGTGCCGCAGGCCACGCAGTCGTCGAGGGACTCGGCGATGCAGGTAGTAGGCGAAATCGCTGTTGTAGCAAACGTCGGCGGCGCGACCGCCGTCGAACGGCAGACCAACGCAGAGCTCACGGCGGCCATGAGCCTTGAGCTGCCACCGCGTCGCTGTTGAAGTCGCCTCGGTACGTTGAGCTCCTTCTTGGGGATGAGCCTCGTGATGTTCTCGAGCAGGTTGCTCGCCTTCGTAGTGAGGTTGACCGTGGGCTTCGGGGCTGGCTTCTTGGCGATGGCCTTGGTACCGACAGCCTTCGGTCCGAACTCGTGGCCCGCGCCCTTGATGGCGAGCCAGTCCTCCGGGTGGAGGTCGATCGCGGGATGTCCCGCGCTGCTCGTGATGAGCTTCTGGGAATGGTTCCCGATGCGGATCTGCTCCCTCCAGAGCGAGATGTCGATCTTGCTCGGCTGGATGAAGTCCCGGCCGATAAGCAGGCCGAGCGTGGGGCTATCCACGACGCTGAACACTATGCGGCCAGCGCGTCCGCACAGCACGAGTGGGGCTGTGACGCGCAGCTTGCTCGGGAGCGTGCCGCCGTTCCCGAACCTGTAGACTTCGTTCTCGGGCTCCTCCAGGATCTGGTCGGCCAGACCCATCTTGGTGAGCTTCTCCTTGTACTGCTTGTACCAGCTGAGCCCGCCAACGCAGAACAGGCAGGCAGTGTCGATCACGCCGACACCGTCGTCGTTGGGCTTCTCGCCGGCGTTGGTGGCGTTTACGGTGGGCAAGTCGGGCACCACGCGCTCGGAGACCAGGGTCTCGGGTGGCGGAGTGACCGGACCTTCTGGATGAAGAATCACCTCCTCGTCGCCGAACTCCACGTGGTTCTGATCGTGGACCTGCTCGGTGATGTTGGCCTGGCGGCGCGAGCGACCTCCGCCGCCTCGTCCTCCGCCCTTCTGCCTGGCATTCGGGGCGAACTTCCGAGCGCCTGGTGTCGGGCACTCCTTGTCACCGGTCCAGTGCCCCACCTCGCCGCAGTCCCAGCACTTGGAGTTCTTCTTGCGCTGGTCCACGCGGCCCTGTAGCTTGCCCGCGGGTCGGCGCTTGGGCGAAGCCTTCCCGCGGCCCTTGATGGCCTCCCGGGCCGACCGCATGGTCGCCATGGCTTCGGGAATCGCGGCGAGCTCCGCCGCGGCGGCCTCCACCTTGGCAGAGTCGTCCCTGTCGAACACCTCGCCGAGGTCGTAGTTGGACTGCTCCAGCTCGGCGCTGAAAGCCTCGAGCTCCTGGCGCACGATGTCCTGGACGTCTGCCTCCGTGTCGTTGTCATCGCCGTCCTCCGAGCCCTCGTGCTCGTCCTCTGGCTCGTCGGCGACGTTGGCTGAACGCGCTCGGCTTGGCGATGAGCGCTGCCAACTACTGTTTGATCGCTGCGGCCGCGGTCGCGACGGCAAGCTGGCATGCCGTTCCGACGCATGGATATCAGGAAACATGCGCACCAGCAGGCCCCTGATGCGCTGAAATGAGTAATGCTCGTCCGGCAAGTTGCCTACGACGCGCCCCCGGCGCTCGGCCGTGAGCCCAGCCTTGCGCAGCAGGAACCAGCCGGCCACGTCGTCAAGCGTAGTGAGGTCCACCTCGTTCTCGCGTAGTTGTTGTAGTCCCGCTTCGAATCGCACGAGCCAGTCCGTCATGCGTTCTCCACGGCGGCGATGATGCTGAGTCGACTCGAAAAACTTTTCTAGCGTCTCTCCCTTCTGTACCGGCTTCTGCTGGCCTAGGTTTGTCTCGAGATGCTTCAGCACATTCTCGATGCCCTTCTGGTTCCGATCGCGCTTCTTCTCGTTTGCCTCCTCAATGTCGGCGTCCGGCGGCGGGTGGAGTTCCTGCTCCGTCATGTTGAGTGCAGCCGATCTGGCGGTACCCGTCAACCTCAAGACTCACTTCGATGCCAAGCTTTGTGTCACTTCCAGGTTCTCGCTGAGCTTCCACAATTTAACTTCTTGCTTGTAATCTCGCCACTCCGCTGGATCTCCATTCCAGCTTGGTATCACTGACTGGTTATGATTGAACACCGTCATTTTGTCTACGAATGAACTGTAAGGAATACCAAAATACAAAATGATATTGAAATCGAACTCGATGCCGTAATCGATGTCGGCGCCTGCCGTGTCGATAAGCTGGTAGGGGATGTAGGCGTTGGGCTTGTCGCTGTCGCTGACGGCGCTGATGCTGAAGATGTCGGCGCTTGCCGATGTAGAAGATAGGCTGTTGTAGGGGATCTCGGCGCTTGCCGATGTTGAGGGTAGGCTTCCGGTGAAGTCGCTGACGTCACTTGTGTTGTCGCAGACGGTGTTGAACTTGTAGAGGCAGGTGCTGGCGTCGCTGACGCTGTCGCTGAACTCGTAGGGGTAGGCGCTGGCGTCGCAGACGCTGGCGTGGGAGAAGGTGTTCGGGATGTCGGCGCTTGCCGAGGCAGAGAGCTGGCAGGGGATGTAGGCGTTGGGCTCTGCGCTGTCGCTGACGGCGCTGATCACGAACGTGAAGATGAACACTGCGCGGCGGCAGAACTGGACGGCGCTGGCCGTCGATTCCGTGGGCAGACGAGTCGCATACGTCGTCGTGGAATATGATAGACCCGAAGGCCGGGGCAGCGAGCCTCGCTCCAAGCTACCACTGTGATATGGAAGACCCAGGGTCGGATATCGCTGATATCGTTTTGTCGAATGATCGCGCGGCGAATCAATCTGCGTAGCTCTAAGGCCAAGGGCCCTAGTATAAATTTCGAACCGAAACAGGCAGCGGGAGAAAGGGTGAGAGCAGCAAGAGCAGGGGCAGGAAAGGATCGGGGAGTGAGCGGAAATCACAGGCGGCACGGGAGGATCGGCCGCGGGGCCGACGAGTCGGCCCATTCGTCATTCCGGTCGCCGGCGGAGGGGCCGTCCAGCACCATCGGCGCTGCGCTGCCTTCGCGTTGCGTCGGGCCGCCCTGGCCCATGGCCTTGTCCCTGCGCTGTGCCGCGTCATTTTTTGCGGCGCGCTCCACCTGGCCGTCCATGGCCTCCGCGTTCAGCACCATCGCTGTCACCAGCCCCGCCGAGCCCGCATCCGAACGCCCGCCTCGCCCGCGCGGGCGGCGCCGCCGCCGAGGGGCAGCAGAGGGCGAAGCCGCCGCCGCTGAAGGCGGGGCTGAGGCGGGCGGCGACGCCAGGACAGCAACGCCCGCCCTCAGGAGGCCCTTGGCGGCGCTGATGAGGCGTGCCGCCTCTCGACATTCCGCCGGCCGATGGCCCAGCAGCAGCGTGCGCCGCGAGGACGGTCCTGCGGGCGCGCTGCATCGGCGGCATCGGCGACGTCCTGGGAGGCGGAAGGCGCGACCCAGAAATGCGAAGCCTGAGCCGAACCGCCTAGAACGAGTCTAGAACAGCCATTACCCGGACCCCCCCCTCCACCTTGTGTAACAGTGACGATTGCACGCGGGAGGGGAGCTGCCCCCCCCCCCCCCCATGTTGGTGCTCGCGTGCTTACTGTGGCGATCGCAGCGCACCCCCGGTCCAACGTGCCCCACCCCGCCCAAGCGTTACGGTTATCCAGCCCCACCCCCCCACTAACGACCGTTACCGGAGATGCTACAAAAAGGAAGCGGATCAGGATCAGAAGGAGGAGGAGGAGGAGGAGGAGGAGGAGGAGGAGGAGCAGCAGGAGCAGCAGGAGCAGCAGGAACAGCAGGAGCAGGAGGAGGAAGAGGAGGAGCAGCAGGAGAAACATCTTGGAGCAGGGGGAGGACCAGGAGGAGAAGGAGGAACCTCAGCATGAGGAGACCCCGTCCCCTCCCTCCTCCCTCCTCCCTCCTCCCCTCCGCCCACAGGCTGCCAGACCCTGATCGAGGCTCTGCCAGCGGCAGGCCTCTCTCGCCTCAGTCTGGACTTCAACAGGCCCTGCCGCACGCCAGCCGCCGCAGCGGGTCCCCCGCCCTCTTCCATGGAGGGGGGGAGGGGGGAGGAACGAGGAGGAGGGAGGGGGAGGGGGACGAGGAGGGAGGGGGAGAGGGGGAGGGGGAGGGGGAGAAGGAGGGAGGCGAAGGGGGAGGGGGAGAGGGAGGGAGGGGGGGGAGGGGGAGGGGGAGGGGGGGGAGGGGGAGGGGGGAGGGGGAGGGAGGGGGAGGAGGGCAGGGGGAGGAGGGGGGAGGCGGAGGGGAGGAACGAGGAGGAGGGAGGGGGAGAGTGAGGAGGACCAGGGTAAACCCAAGCCGCACCAACGATGTTGCAAGACACCCTCCCTCCAAGCTCCCTCTTCAGAGGTCCCTACAAGGATTTGTCTGCACTGCGGAAAGCGCGCAGTTGGAAGCCGCTTGGCCTGGTACCTTGGCCAGTACCTCACCGCCGACCTGGCGCCTAGCTTGACACAGATTCGCGCCCATGGCTGGGCTCCCGAGAATGCATTCGAACACGAAGGAAATCCATGCCGCTTTTGGCCAGAAAGCCACTGCCGTTCGAGGAGGTTCTGAGCCGGCACCTTCGAGACTCGTTTGTTTTCGCAGCGTAGGCATCCTTTGGCTAGCTGCGAGCACCGCGACCACACACAGCTGAGGCAGCTGGAGTTCGGCGACTGCGTTCCTGCTGCCGTGCCTCGCTGAGAGCTGTGTCCCTGGCGCGATGTGTGCTGTTGTTGGACCGTGTTTTGGTGTCAAAACAGCTGAGCAGAGTCCCTGGCCTCAGGGACCACGATATCCGAATATTTCCAGAATTGCATCGTCTTCCATAAGAATGCCACTAAGTCCTGCACGAATGGGATAGATCGGGTTACCAGGCGGCAGTTGCGCCGTCGTACCCAACGAGTGGTGTGAAGAGAACAGGAGGCATCTCAGCAGGAGAGTTGAAGCGCCACCACTTCCAGTCGTTCAGACACTTGGCGAACAAGCCTACACAGCTGATGGGGCTCAGGATGATTGACGAGCCAGAGGACACCAAGCAGAGGGGCCTAGACTTCAAGGACTTAGTTGCGTTCCAGCTGAAGATCGGAGGTCAATCGATCACCATCCTGGGGGTGTACCTCACTGCGGGCACAGGCTTGACAGGCACGAACATTGACAAGTTAATCCAGATGGGCCAGCTGATCCACAGCATCCGCACACGTTGGTTGGCTATCGGTTGTTTCAACGCGGAGCCGCACGAGTTGGAGAAGATTGGCTGGCCCAGGCTGGTGTGGGGCATCATCAGAACGGCAGATGGTTCAGATTACACGTGCGCTTTTGGTAAGAAGCGATTGATTGATGATATGGTGATGTCGCCATCCATGACCAGATTTATTGAATCCCTTACTGTAGAAGACACCGCCTGCCATGAGGAAGGCAACGCCTATTTCGGTCTACATCTCAAGTTGAAGTTGAAGTTGGACCAGGCATCCAGATGGGTACTTCCATTGGCGGAGAGATCCGTCTATCTTCCCATGCCCAAGAAGCAGAAGTTAAGATTGCAGCATATGGCGCATAATGAACAGGTTGTGACACCAGCGACGACGGTGCCATTAAAGAAGCGCCAGGTGATTGAACTGAAGTCTTCACCTCCGATCTGCTACCTCACCAACGGCGTCTGGGGCATAGAGGAGATAGAGGAGGAGGAAGACGACTCCTTGGAAGAGCCAGACGGTGCTGAATGTGAACCGGATGGAGGCGTTAGATCGCAAGTCCCTACCCCCAGGTGCACCCAAGAGATAAACAGCGTGCGCCACTGGTTAGACCGCAAGTCCCTGCCCCAGGTGCACCCAAGAGGTTCACAGCGAGAGGGGCAGGGCTCAGGCGCCATGCCTTGCCGCTTCTGGTGCTGCCGATGCTGGTGTAGTCGTGGATTCGTCTTCTGTAGTGCCCGTGGGCCCCCCCGAGTGCCGCGGGCCTTCGTGCCGCTGTGGGCACGAGGGGTGGAGAGCGAGCCGTTGCTGGAGGGGCAGCGCGGACGGGGCTACAATCGACAGGAGGGGCGGCGTGCAGGTCTGGGCGGGGCGGGGAGCAGCTCTGGGAGCACCCTGCAGCCCCGCCCCCGAGCCAGGGGCAGCCGCGCGACCGCCCCATCGTGGAGGTAGAGGCGCCGGACCACCTGTCGGAGTCGCTGCAGAGCCCACTCTCTGAAGTAAAGGTGCCGAGCTGCGCGAGGAACTCTTTCGCTTTCGGCCTGGACGATGCTGGGGCGATGCAGGTAGGCTCCGTTGTTGGTTTTTGTTGTTCTTTCTTTCTTTTTCTCCAAGTGGGTCTCACGCTTTGAAGGTCTCTTCTGTGCGATGCTTGAAGTGCACCCCAAAGACCAGCGTAGATTTGAGGGCCGAGCTGAACTGCGTGAGCTCCAACAGCGACCCGAGGCCCAGGGTGCCCACTCTGTGTCTTCCAGGGATCATTTGGCCCATTGGTGGGCTTCCCTGAACTTTTCACTTTCGGACCTGGTTGGCCTCCTTGGGGGCAGGTCGCAGCGCGGGCCTAGCAGACTTTTTGCGCGACTTAGGGACATGGCCTCGACAGCGCCAGTCTCGTCACTCTTGCCGCTCACAGCGAAGACTCGTTCGGAAGCGGTCTGGGGCCGACGCGTCTAAAGAGAGGCTTCGGATTTGCGTGTCAGAGATTTCGAAGCTAGAGCTAGACAACTCGGCGCGGGCCTTGCGCGCGGATGTGAATGACAGCATTTTTTTGAGGTGTTTGACACGATCGAGGCATGGTTTCAGATTTTAAAACCCATGCTAGCTTCGACGCCGATAAGACGAGGCGAGTTTGGCGTGGAGTCGCAGCAGAGCTGGAATCCAAGACAGCCGGTAATCTCTGGCGAAGCGTAGGCACCTCCGTGGCTGCCGCGATCGCCTTTCCGCTGGATGTGGGTTGGAAGCCTTGGGGGCCCTGGGCTTGGGAGAGTGACCTGGGGGAGCGGTTCGCGATCTCAGAAGCCGAGCACGGGCGCGGCAAGGTTGACCTCGCCAATGTTTCCGAGGCTCTGGCCCAGAGCAAGGAACGCCAGCTCTGGGAATCTGCTGCAGCCAACTCGCGGAACGGGTCAGGCTTAGAGCTAGTGCGAGCCTTGTGTGGTTTGAATTGTCAGATGAGGTCGCTGGCCAAGAATGGTAAGCACGAGTGGAGGGGGGATTTTGCGGGCCGCGGCCACCAGTAGCAGCTGGCCACGCGCGAGGCTCCAAGAATGTGGTCTTCCCCAGGGCAGCTCCTGTAAGAGATGCGGGGAGTTGGTGGCATGTGACGTGCACCGTGCTTGGAGCCGTCCAAAGAATAGCGAGTTCTCCTAGGTCTAGGAAAGCGTGAGAAGGCGAGCCCCAGCGGATTCGGAGAGTAATCCAAGCTTTTGGCTGCGAGGACTGACGCCAGGCAGCTGGGCCGCCGTGCCCGTGTGCGGCTTTTCATTTGGGAAGGGGGCGACGCTAGAGGGGGGCCAGACACACGGGGCCCCGCCCTCGGTAGGGTTGCCTGGTCATGGTCTGCGTTTAAGGGCCTCCGAGCTAGTGGACAGCATGACCCCGGAGAGCTCCAGGCCCACGCAGTGGGCTTTGGGAATGCGCCTGGATGGCTCCAGTCGGTCAGCAGGGGGGAAGCAAGGGCCCAGAAGAAGATCCTGCGTTAAACTGCTTAATTCTGCCTGGGGGTGGAAGGAACACAAGAAAGCCCATGGCTGCGTGTGCCCGCCTCTCTTCGGACGCTACGGGCGAGAGTGCCCGACAGTATGCCGAAGAACCGATGGGCGAGCGGCGGCCTGGACAGCCGGCGGCTCGAAAGCATGGAGGCAACAAGCTTGATCGCGATTTTGGGTCTCTGGTCGAATAGGGTCAACCAGCACAATCATGGACTTTCGGCAGTCCGCGCGGATGTCCTGGTTCGGCGCTGGAGGATGAGGAGGAGGAGGCAGAGGAGGAGGGGCAGGAGGAGGAGGGCATCGACGAAGAACAGGCTGCGCAAAAAGCAGTCACTCTCGGAGGCCCGCGCTCCCGCACATGTTGTTCCCAACGCTCCTGTGCTGCTGGGGCCCCGCTTCGAATCCGCAGCTCCACGTTCCATCGCTGCTGCTGCTGCCGCCTCCCCTCCTCCCCCTCCTGTCCCTGGCCCTTGCTCTCCGCCTGCTCATATCGGCACACTCCCAACAGATGCAGTGCCCCCATCTGGAGTTCCACCTACGGCCAGGCGCATATGCCACCCCGCGCTCCGCACAGGCCAACGACAGCGCATGTTGATTATTTTGTTTTTGGTCCTGAGGCGATGCGGGCAATAGTTCCCACATGTGAAAGCCAGATGACGAAAACGTGAGGCTCAGTTCTGACGTGCTCAGAGGTGGTTTCTGGGCCCCTCCGGGGGTCCATCTTCGCTGGTTTTTTGAGCTGCTTCCGGCCGCGGCAGCGAGCACCTCCAGAAACGGCCCAAATCTTAGGAAACGAAAGCGTCAACGTCGTCACCGTCGCGCCGTCGTGCTGGAAGCCACACGGGTCCCGCAGGTGCCGCATGGAGGGCGGCGCCGCGCGCGTATTGGCGGCCAAGCTGACGGCGGCGGTGAGACTGAAGAGGCTTCCCGCTCCGCCCCGCCGGGGTGGATCGTTACCATCGTCGACGAGTAAGACGGCGACGACGACCACGGCGACGCCGACGACGACGGCGAGGCCTCCGCAGACAGGCCTGCGCGCCGTCGGCTCGGATCTGGTGGCCTGCCCGTTGGCGGCGCGCCCGTGGACAGTGGCGTGGCTAGGTGGGGTGCCCAGTGGCTCGAAAGCATCGAGACGACATTTCTGTCTTGGAGTCGTCTCGGGGTCTGAGGTGGCCCAGCACTGGGTCCGGTCAGCAGGAACGGCGGGCAGGTTCGAGGTTCTGGGTTCGATGATTTTTGCTTGTATGCTTCAGCCTCTGGAGGCCCTTCCGGGCCCCTGGATTTTGGAAAACTCATCCGGGGTGAAGTATTGCGCCAATTGGCCCTGGGAGGGATCTGGGTATCGACTTTGGCCAGATTTGGCTTCACCCTCCCATTTCAGACCGACCCTGTGGGGTCCCAACCAGTTCTGACCGCCCGACCGCCTCCGAGGTATGTCGCCTCTTTGGGCTTTGGTCGGAGGGACACACGTTTCGATTCGATCGATCCGGTCCGATGCCGAGCCCGACAAGTATTGTATAAGCCCTGTAAGCCCTAGAAGGCCTATTCGCCCATATAAGCATTACAAGGCCTATAAGCCCTAAGAGCCCTAAGCCACCGGGCTCGACCCGATTCGATTTCGATTTCCGGGCCGTCCGATGTGACCCGATTCTTGCACCGCGTAGTTGTGCACCCAGAACGCAGCCGACCCGATTCGATTTCGATTCCGTGCCGCTGCAGATCACGCTTCGCGTATCCCCCACCAGGGCAAGTTTTCGACGTTACCTCGGCAGCTCAGCCCCATCAGCTTGCATACGCCGCTGGTACGGCCCTGGACCTGGCGCCCCGCTGGCGACTCGTTCATCGTTCACCTTGCCTGTGCGCACTCCAGGCGTGTGGGACGCGTATGCATCTGCGCACACGTCCTCGCGCTGTCTGAGTGGGTCATGCCGCACGGCCTACACCGAATTTCCTGGCATTTTGCGCTAGGCTGTACGTTGCCCGAGCTTCCCTGGGTGCCCTCAGCCTGTCAGCTTTCCCACGCAGCACAGCAGCTGCTTGGTGAGTGGGCCCGGCCGGCCTGCGGCGCCCCCAGTAGCTAATTAGGCCGTTGCCGCGCCCCGGAACTCTTCTGACTCCGCCTGCGCTTTCGCTCGCGGACGCGACCGAAAAAAAAATATCCCCACCAGGTCTTCCACAGGGTACTCGTGATGCGTCGCGGTGTGGTCCAGCCTTCCAGCGGACGCCGTGCTTGCCCCTCGACCCGTCCCAGTTTACCAGGCAGGTCTATGCCGCCGCCGCGGCCCTGGCCCTTGGCGCCCTCTGGCGACATGGTCAGTTTGTACATGGCCTTCTTAGCTACAGTGTTTGTGCGGATCGTGCTTGCAGAGGGTTTTCAGTACGCGGCATGGCACCTACACCGTGGTGGACTGGCGCTTCGGCTTTCAGTTTGTAATTCTCTGGCATTTTGCCACAGGTTTGCTCGATGCATCAGCTTCCCTCGGCGTTGCAGACCAGCCAGTCACCCCCACCTGCCGCTGCTGCTCCCCAGCTGCCGCTTTTGAGTGCTGGCCCAGCCGGCTCGCGTTGCGCCTATAGCGAATTAGGCCGGCCAGTGCCCCGGACCCCCTTTCGCCGCCTGCCCTCTGTTGCGCGGTCGCAACCAAAAAAAGTATATCCACCAGGCCCGGGTCGTCGTATGTCCCGACTCCCTGGTGTCCGACGCTTTGCATACTTGCGCGCTGGCAGTTCGACTCCGTTCCAGCTGTCCCCCCACCCGCCAGTCCGCCGCTGGGCTGCTGCGTGAGGGTTCGGTTTGCCGCTGTAGGTGTAGCTTCCCTCCGACGCCTTAGGCTAATTCGTCGCTGCGTGCCCCGCCTTGACAGGACTCGCCGCCGGCGCGCTCGCCCGCGGCCGCTGACTAAAAAAGTAACCCCCAGCCCATTCTGAATTTCTGCCCATGAGGGCCGATGGGAAGAGAGACGAAGAGACACATATGGTGAAGCAAAGCGGGCAACCTGGGTGAACAGAGAGATGTCCGGGAGCAAGGGGGTGGCCTTGGATGTCTCTTCGGACCATCCTTGGGGCCCGCGTGAGGGCGACGGAATATTGAGAAGAACGAGAAGCAGGAGGAGGAGGAGGAGGAGGAGGAGGAAAACAGCGACGAAGACGACGACAACGACGACCACGACGACGAGGAAGCGGAGCAAAAGGAAACGGAAGACGATGTGGGCAGGGGCGAGGAGGAGGAGGAGGAGGAGGAGGAGGAGGAGGAGGAAGAGAAAGAGGAGGAGGAGGAGGAGGAGGAGGAGGAGGACAACGACGACGAGGACTAAGCCCGCAAAATCGGCTCTTGGGGCCCTCTTGGGACTCTTTTGGCGTCCTCTTGGGGCTCTTTTTCAAAGTTTTGGGGCCCTCTTGGGGCTCTCGTGGTATCCTTTTTGGGGGGCCCTGGAGGGCATCTTGGGGCCGTTTTGGAGGCTATCGATCAAAGGAGGGGAGAAAGGAACGCTGTGGGGCCCTCGATTTGCATGCCCCCCAAGGGGGCCGTCAACATCGTCTCTTGGGGCGCTCTTGGGCCGATGCCCGTGGCGCCGTTTTAGGGGGCCTCTCATGCCCCCCCATTGGGCATCTCTTGGGCCATCTTGGGGCCGTCTTGAGGCTTCAAGAGCGCATCGGAAGCGAAAAGGCGAGAAGTCAAACATCGTTGAGTTCCCTTGGGTCTTGAATGGTTTTGGCGTCTTGGGAGAGGTCCTGCGGGGGCTTCGAGAGCACTTGGAAACTCCTTGTGGCCTTCGTTGGGCATTTTGGAGGTATGTCGGATGCGTTGAAACATTGTCGGCTCTCTTGAGCCGCCTTGGAAGTCATCTTGGAGCATCGGAGGCCCTATTGGAGCCATGTTGTGCGGAAGCGACCTCTAACACATCGCGTCCCGCCCCCCCCCCCAAACCAAAAACAGGGAGGGGAGGGGGAGGGTACCCCTCCGCGACGGGAAGACGGTTTTTGAAAAGGAAAGAAAGACATCGCTAGACCACCATAGCTCAAAAAGGCTGATGGGATTCATATTTGTTGATCCGATATTGATTGACCTTGCCGCCCTGGTCCGGCTTACCCCATTAACTTTGGTTTAGTATTGGGCTTCAGTTGGTTGAGCCTGGCCTAAGTGGTCCGGTGATATGGCTGAAGGTTGAAGATGTGAGTCGGCCGCGCACGCATGCTTACATAGCAAGAACCGCTGGAGCAGTACAAACAGTGGCTAAGCGCCCTTCTGATGATGATTCCGTCGCAGGTGTCACTATTCGTTTTCGTAGATGTCGGTGGAGCAAGTAGCAACGACTTTGGTAGCGAGAGTGATGCGTGTCGGAAAGGTGTTATTGCCAATAGATATCCTGTCGTGAATATGAAATAAGTCTCTGTTGCATGCGTTCGTTTTCGCCTCCCACTTGGATGTCGGGACTTGGCCAGTGAGTCCCTTGACCGAGGCTCTGGGGCTTCGTGGGGCGCCTCGGATCCTATGGGACGATGCGCGTTACCATCTGGCGGGCGCTCCCCAAGTCAATGCGTTGGGACGGCCCCAGGGGGAAATACAAATCTGCGGACGTCTTCGGTCTTTTCCTTTGGTCACGCATCGCCATGAATCGTTCCCCCGAAGACCTCCCAGGGGGTGCCCCCGCGCACACCCTGACCAAACATGTGCAGGCGAGGCGGCCTCCCTTAGGACTCCCGCCCATATGAGGCGTTCCAGACATGGCTTCGCCTTCGAGGATTGAAGAAGTTGTCATCTCGTCCTCGGCGGAAGGCCGGCGGAAACCGGCGAAAGCAAAGCGAGGTCGTCTCCGCCGGCGGAGGCTGGCAGAAGGCCAGCGGAAGTAAGATATTCGGCTACGCTCAAGAGCGACTCTTTGGCGGTGTGTCTTTTGGTGCTCGCCCCCAGGGGTGCCCCCGCCTTTGTCTTGCGCGCTCAGATTTGGCCGCTCCGCGGTCCCCAGAGCTGCGCACCACGGGCAACTTTTGCCCAGGGCCCATCCTGCGTGTAGCCGAAAGAGGGTTTTATGCGTGTTGCCCGTGGCAGCTCTTTTAGGCCTAGGGTTTCCGGAGTCGGCCGTGGGCCTGAGCTGCAACTGGCGGCCCGTCGGAGGCGCCCGCCGACTTTTTCTCACAGGGAGCGTGGGCGGACCTCCCGCTCGTCGAGGAAGGCTGGCGGCCAGCTCGTCGAGCAGAACACCGTGAGAAGCACAGCCCTTTGGGCACAGCTGTCCTCGTCCTCGTGTCCTCCTCCTCCTCCTCCTACGCCTCCTCCTCCTCCGCCTCCTCCTCACCCTCCCCAATTTCTTTGTTTTCCACCTACACCGCCACATATCTCGACCTGGAGCCTGTTTATTTGTTGTAAGGTCTGGGCGATGACGGCCGTGATCGGCCGGCTTCCTCCCCCCCCCGACCCCCCATATCACGTTGGATCCTTCGGAGCGCAAGATGGTTTGCAAAGAGTGCATTTTGGGGGGCCCGCATTTGCAAACACATGTTCTACGGATTCCTGTTGGGGATTTCCTAAGATTTCCGGCACATCGGCATCGTTCGTAAGGCGGGCATGTCCGCCCCACCTTGCGCAATCGCTGGAAGTACGGCGGATCCGAAGTCAGGCCCCCCTGCCCTCTGCAGCCATTTTGGCTCAGGCATGGCTCCGTCCGGGGACCTAAAAGGTGCCCCGATTTCCGCCATGGCGTTGCCAATCCGGTCAGCCCAGCGGTAGCGCGAGAGTGGCGGCGCGCACCCAGGGGGGGGGGCAGGGCGAGTGGGGGGTGGGGGGCGCGCCTTCCAGGTGTGGCGCTCCGGAGAGGGCCTAGCTGGTAGGGCTTCGGCTTGCGCGCGGACAGCCCTCCCCACCTCGAACAGGTCCCCGAGGGGGGTGTTGAGACCTCCCGGGCCATTCTGGGCCCGCCAGGACTGCCCGGGCTGGGCTGTCTGTGCGCCACCCGAAGCGCTGCCAGGCCTCGCCGCTGGCGCCACTCGCCCTCGGCGGGTGTGAAGTTGCCGCGCGAGGCCTCCACTTGGCATCGCTCGGACGTGTTTTTTTTTTCTTTTTCCGGCGAGGACCCTCGAGAGGTCCTCGACCACCGCGCAAAACAACACGCGCGAAACCGAAAAATGCACAGGGAGTGGATGTCTGAGCGATGGCGAGTCCAGGGATGTCCTCATGACAAGACGGGGTCCCGGAGCTCGCCGCGCTAGCGGACGACGACGCCAGCGACGGCGGCTGTACGGCGCCGACGACGGCGACGGCGGCGGCGACGGCGACGACGACTGCGACGACGGCGACGGTGACGACGGGCCCAGGGGCAGGCTCTCGGGCCCTAGGGGTAGGCCTGGGGGTGAGACCCTAGAGCCCATAGGCCCAAGGGGTAGGCCGGCCCACCGAGCTCGGACGGGGGCCTCGAGCCAATTGGGGCCAGCGGCCGAGCTCGCCAAGAGGGCCCCGGGCGCGCCCCGCCGCTCGGCAGCGCGAGGCTCCCGCGGGCGCTTCTCGCTGCCGGGGGCGGAAGCAGAGCGGCGGCAGGTGCGCCAGCGGGTGCGCCGGCGGAAGGCGGCGGAAGCAGAGGTTCTGTCGGCTTCACGCAGGAGTGACCTTTCGCCGTAGTTGTGCCTTGGGTGCAGGCCCAGGGGGTCCCCCCCCGATCGCTGAATGCGATGCGATCGTAGCGGCTTGTGCGCCTGGTGGTGTCCATTGCGGCCCCCGCTGAGGCCGCGCACCGCAGGTCGCTCTTGGCTGGGGTCACTCTTGCGTGTAGCCGAGTTCTGGTGCGGGGCATGATTCGTATCCTTATCCAGTGCGTCATGGACTTTTGTTGGAAGGGGCGCCGCGAGGCCGAGGTTCACTGGATATGGACAAAACAAGGGCCTCGAGGGGGCAGACTTCTTACTCATATCCAGTGCGCCTCAGGTTTCTTGGGACGGGAGCTCGAAACTCCGAGGGGCAGATCGTGTTTCGAGCTGGGCGTTTTCGCCTGGCTTCGGGTTCGGGACCCTCGCATGTCGATCTGGCTCAGAGTCGCAGATCGTGCGATTGCATATCCGCGGGATTGCGCCCCAGAAGCCTGACCGCGAGGGCGCGTCGGGCGTCGCGTGACGGTTGGCCGATCATTGGAGGGTGGGGGGGGGGGGGGGGGCGAAAGGTGCGCTTTTCGTACCCCAGTCGGGCTCGAAAGGGGCCAGCCGGGGCCCAGAAGGGGCACGCAGGTCCGCCACCCCCCCCCTCCTTCCCTTTATCGCCCCCCTACTCAGCAACGCCCAAGCGCGTGTGCCGATACGTTCGCCCTGGCATCGCTCGGACGTGTGCATTTTTCCTTCGGCGAGGACCATCGAGGAGCATCCTTGATCATTTGGCGAAAAAACCACGCACGAAACCGAAAAAAACACAGGAAATGCACGTCCGAGCGATGGCCAGTCGCCGCTCGTGAGGGTGCGCGCAGCCAGGGAAGCCACCGCTGCTGCATGGCCGGGAGCGTGCCCGCTCCGCCCAGGGCGGCAGGCCAGCTGCAGGTGCCGCAGCCAGCGGGCCTCCCCTTCCGCCAGGGCTCCGCCGAGTCCTTCCTGGCCCTCTCGCCCTCGCCGGTCGGGAGCCTCGGCATCGAGGCTGTGCGCAGGAGCTCGACGAGCAGACGACGGCATAAAGTCGGGCGCTGAAGAAGGAACCCTTTTCGTTGTGGAGGGGCTCCGTGTTCCTTAATTGTTTCACAGCTTGCCTCAGGCTTTCCTTGTGTTTTCGACGGGAAATGGAAGGTTGACTTATGGAAAAAAAAGGGGCCTCGTTCCTTATTTAGGGTTCCTTAGGTCAACGCCCTGTAATCACAATTCCTCCGAGATCCGCGCCGAGATCCGCGCGGATCTCTTGCATCGGCGCCGGGGCCTCCAGGCGGTGCGTCTGGCGCCGCCCCTGGCGCCTCGAGTGCAGTTGTTTGGATTGTTTGGCTTCGAGCATGCTCTTAGGACTCGGGTAACACGTCCTGGAGGTCCAGACCTGTGAGAAATTGTGGTCATGTCGTCTCCTGTTCCTGCAGGAGTGCCGCCGTCGAGGCGTCCTTCGGGCTGGGCTCGTGCCGCTGGGAGGAGGGGCGGATCTGTGTCTGAAGGGCTGCGCCCAAATTATCAGGACTTGCACAAGCGTGTAGCCGTTCGGAGCCCCGCGCGGATGCATTGGATTTCACCACCCACCAAACCACGCCAGCCCCAACCCGACCCGAAGGCTCCAACTTGCCCCCCATTCCCAGTGCGGTGGCGGGGGGTGCCGGGGAACCTCGAAACTACACCTGTGGAACCCGTGCCCCCCCCGGCCCGAAATTTGGATATCCGGGTCGGTCTGGGGTGGTATGGCTGGTAGTCTGGATCCGCACCAGGGCCCTCCTTGGTGGCGCCTCCAGCGTCCTCTCTGGCGCGCTCCGAGCGCGCGCTCCGAGCCGCCCGCGCTCGGGCAGCTTCTGCGCCTCCGTGGCGTGCCGCGCCCTCTGCCGCCGGCATCCTGGGCGGGGCCGTCGCGTGGCCGCAGTGGGGCAGCCGAGGGGGGCATCCGCAGGGCCTTTTCGGGCGTGCCTCCGGGGCCCCTGCTGGGCTTCTTCGAGTCGGGGATCGGCCACACAATCGAGTTCGGCCGAGCTTGATTTTTGGTCCGCCGAGTCTACGAGATGTGCGCAGGAAGGGGAGGTCCGAGGGCCGACTGCGGGGGCTCGTAGACCGGGGGGAGGGTCATCCCAAGGGTGGGTCAGGGAACGAACCCGGCGGGGTGATCGCACTGCCTTGTTTCAGGAGCCGCTGAGAGCGATTCAGAAGGAAAAACACGCAGACGCAAGCAATCGTCGGTAATATGGAAAGTATGGGAGTGGGGGAGGGGAGACAAACATCCAGGTAATAATCTTGAAATTATGGGGGATCCTGGGAGTTGTGCTCATGTGTTTGTATGTCCCTTGGCCCCTTCAGCGATTCTTTCTCTGACCCCACCTTTGCCCCTACCCCACCTTTCCACCACCAACGATGCTAAGCCCTCGGCAGGTACGGGTTGGGCTCCTCGGACTCCAGCGGCTTTCACGAGGGAGACGTCAAGAACGGCCTCAAGGCCGCTGGGAACTCGAGGACGCTGGGGCCGGCGACACCGTGGAGGCACAAACCCTCTGAGGCGGCGAACAGGAGCAAGCTGGACGTCATCGCCGCTGGCCACGCCTCCCGAGGCGGCAGCGAGATTCAGGTGGACCGGCCCGGGACCATCCTGAAGAAGTTGGACCCGACAGAGCGTGACGTGTACAAGCGCCTGAAGAACACGTACGAAGACGACCCCGTCTACGTCTACACTCCAGAGTATCACGGAGACGTCAAGGGCCTCGATGAGAGCGGCAAGCCGGTGGAGTTCATCAGGATAAGCAACTTGTTGACGGGTTTCTTCCAGCCCAAGGTGATCGACATCAAGGTGGGCATCCGGACGTTCTTGGAGTCGGAGTGCGACAATCCGAAGCCCAGGGACGACCTCTACAAGCGCATGTGCGAGCTCTATCCCGATGACCTCACACCAGAGGAGAAGGAGGTGCAGGCCATTACAAAGTATAGATGGATGTCGACACGGGACGCGCACACGACCATCAGCTCTTTAGGCTTCCGAATTGACGGCATCGCCGGATATCGCAAGAAGCCGCGCGAGCAGATGGATAAGGTTATCGCGTCGATGCTCACCCACGAGGAGCCATTTTTTACCCCTCCGTCCATACCGTACGTTACCCACCGTATTGTTCGTAGTGCTTCCCCCCGAGCAGTGTGCCCCCGTGCCAATCATTCGGCAGGTACAAAAGAACTCCTGTGTGACAGGAACTCGAGCCTTGATTGCATGCCTTCAGCACCATCCCGCCAGAAGGATTCATCAGGCATCGAGATGGGTTCGACTGGCCAGGAGCATTCGGGAGACAAGACGAGGAGAGCGAGCGACAGGGGCACATCCTGACACGAAGCACAGGGTGCCGAGCTTGTGTCGACTTGGTGCCCGCGAGTCGCGGATCAATTCCAGGTTAGTTTTATGTGTGAACAAGCAAAATTGTGTACACGCACGCGCATACACACACACACACACACCCTCAGCGTTTCAAACCAGGGAACTAATGGGTGTTTCCGCAACAGAGTCGTTGGCTCACCGTGGGCCCCATCGGCCCCCGGGGCTGTCTTCGAGCCATCGAGAAGAACTTCTACAGGCCGCCCAGCGGGGCGCGAACTAATTCCAAAGTGGCGCAAGGCCCAGATGGCTCCAAAAGCCCCCCAAGAAGCTCCAGGAGGGCTCCGACAAGCCCCTCCACAGGGACCTCAGGTCCCATAACACTTGTTTTTTTAGTTTTCGACTGATGTTCGTACCCTCGCCTTCTCGAGCGCCAGATACCTGAACGCGGCCCGAGAGGCCCCCAAGCGACCCAAGGACTTCTTCAGAAGCCCCCAAAAGCTTCCATGACGGCCCATGAGCGCCCCAAGACAGCCCAGGAGGCTTTATCTATAGCCTCCGAGAGCCTCGAGACGAAGAGATCCTAGCGGCCATAAATTTGTCTCCGCCTCAGACGCCAGACCCTCCTCCAAGAGCGCCATAGAGCCCACGCAGGCCCACAGCAGGCCTCCGAGATGCCCACGCATGCTTTTCACAAGCATCCAACAAGCCTCACAGCGGCTTCCATCAAGCCCCTTTCCATGTAATGCCTGCAGGTCCTCGAGGTCGCCCCAGAGCTATCGTACATGTAGCTCTAGGCTTCGCTCGGCTCCATTGTCGCCCTGCGACCTTCCCGACCCACTCCTCATCACACCTTTAGCACACTACCCGCCGTTTCTTTTCCGCCCTGTAACCTGACCTTCATAGTCCCTATTTCCTGCCCGTTCGCACGCACATCCAAGACTTGCAACGCATGTCCCAAACGCCCCAGAGACAAGACGCCCAAACTTTATCTTCCGTCCCGTCACCTTCACAACCCTTGTTCCCCGACCATTCGTATATAAACGCATGACTTGTAAGCAAGTCACAAACGTCCCAGAGACTAGACAGCCACAAAACTATCAACTCCCCCCCCAAGAGCCTCCTGAGCGCCCGCGCTAGGCCTTCCATCGGCCCCGAAGAGGCCTCTACCCCCAGTATCGGCGCGCATGTTTCAATAGTTGCCGTTCCAGCACGCACTGCGTGGCTCACAGTCGCTTGGTTCCCCCTTGCACTGTGGGGTGGTCTGACAGGTGTGGGTTTCGCCACGGAGTGGTTCAGCCTTCCACAGCAGCTACAGCACCCCAGGCTCACCATCAGCTTTTCCCAGTTGCGTGGCATCACGGTTTGCGACAGCTCAGCCCCCCTGGCTAGCTCACGTCGTCATGGCGTTTGGAGCCTGGCGCCCACCGGCGACTCACTTCACTGGCCTCCCACTTGCCCCCACTCAGATTGACGGACTTGGTTATCCTGGGTCACGTCTCATATTGTGGCTGGCGCCGAATTCTATGACATTTTGTCTGTGCACGTGCTCGAGCTCTCAGGATACCCCTGCCGTCAGCTCCCCTTCAGCTTCGCGGCTGCTTTGTGATCGGGCCGGCCGGCCTGTGCCTGTTGTAGCTAATTCGCCTCGTTCGTGTCCCGGACTTTGCTTTTGCCGCCTGACCTTTGTCTCGCGGCCGCGACCAAAAAAAATATCCCCACCAGTCGGCCTGCGGCGCGCCCAGTAGCTAATTAGGCCTATTTCCGCGCCCCGGACAGCTTCTGACTCCGCCTGCGCCTTCGCTCGCGAACGCGACCAGAAAAGTATCCCCACCAGTTCCGGCCCACCGCTTTAGGTTAATTCGTCTTTGCGCGGCCCGCTGTGACTGGACTCGCCGCTGGCGCTCTCGCCTGCGGCCGCTGACAAAAAAAAAGATCCCCACCAGTCGTGGCTCGCATCTCTGTTTTTTCGTTTTGCCGGTGGCACAGCCTCCCCCTGCCTGCATGCCCGGCGTTCGACTCGTTTCGCGCGCCCGCGTACCAAAAGTATCCCCACCAGTCCATCCAGAATCGATGCCCAGGTAGGAGCAAGCAGTGGAAGCATGGGGGAAATCTGTCAAACGGAAGTTCGTGATCAGGCTGATCCGTTTCAGCAGTCAACTAAAAATGCCCTGTCGGATCTTTCGGTACGGGGGGTTCTTGGCAGCCCACTTGGGCTACAGCCCTCTTGGGGTTATTTCGGAAGTCTTCGGGGTTTTCTTGGGGCTGTCTTGGGAGCCTTGGGGGCAGTCTTGGAGTCCATCGATCAAGGAAGCAGGATGTGGCCCTTGTCGAGCCACAACAGTCGGTTCTTGGGACCCCCTTGGGGCGCTCCTGGGGAGGCTATCTTCGGCTCTCTGTGACCATTTTGGGGTTATCCTGGGACATTTTGGTCGCCCTAAGTCCTCGCGCCACCCCCGTCCGGACCCAGGAGGAGGCGACAAGGGGGAAGGGTCGAAGGGGAAGAAGAGGGTTGGAAGAGGAAGCGCGTCCGATCACCTCAAACCGAAAGGACTGGTAGGACGTCGCTCCAGGATCCCTATGCATGTCAATCGCGGTTCCGGTCGACTCCATTCTCCCCGCGACCTTCCCACCCCACCAATCATCACGCTTTCATTACACTGCCCGTAGCTTCATGTCGTTCCCCATAGCCTTCCCGACCTGCGCATTCCACGCAAGGCCCAGACCCACCAGAGACCAGATAGCACCGATTGCTCCCAGCATTTCCTCAAGAGCCCCCTGGCGATCTCAAAGGCAACCATGCGCCCCGAAACGGCCCCATCCCCCCTCCTCCAGACTGCCCTCAGGTATTCCACTTCGCTTCAGGCTTCCTGCAGATGCCACTTCTTCGTCCGACCGGCTCCACTGTCTGCCCGTGCCCTTTCTGCCCCACCAATGTTTACGTTTTCAGCCCTTCCCGCTCTACCCATTCTTCACGTTTCCCTCCTCCTCTCCGTCCCGGTGCTGGTCTAGGAAGCTTTACCTTCCAACTTTCTGTGCTTCACGCAACGCAAACTGTCAACCCTTGTCCCTCAGGCATTGGTCTAAGAAGCCGTGACCAATGCAAGTCTCAGACGTCCCCGAGACATCCCCCCGCCCACGCTTTTCCGCACCACCTCATCTTCATTTTCCGCCTCTGCGTTGCCAGATGCGGAGTAGGCATCTTCTGTATGGCCCGGAATCGCGGTACGCACATCGCACCCCGGACGCAGTTTTACCACCGATTGCATATCCCAAGTGTTCGGGCAGACCCCGTGGCTCATGCCGGCCTCCGTTGCCGACCCTCCGCAACCGTTTGAGCGTCCCGCGCATTGCGCGCGGGTCGCGCCGCTCGCACATGGCATGCAGTCCCACCCTTCCTGTCAAACGCATCCGTCCGCGCACTGCCCCCCACCACGCATCATGCCCAGCCGTGAAAGCGAAGCGCAGCGAGCCTCAAGTCCTGCGAATCAATGTGCACGCGCACGCCTGAGGCGTTCCAGAAACGGCCTCGCCTTCGAGGATCGAAGGAGTTGGTGTCTCTTCCTCGGCAGAAGGCGGCGGAAGGCGGCAGAAGTAAGCCGAGGCCGCCTTGGCTGGCGGAAGCCAGCGGAGACGACATCATTTTGGGGTTCAGAGTTTCGGGAACCCGCCATATATTGGTGAGCTCATGATTGTGGGACAGGGGTGACGGGTACGATTGACGCGCAGGCGCACGTGACAAGTTGAGCGACTGGTCGCCACGGTCTCCCCTGGCACTCGATGGAATTGCTTCCTGCCTGTGCTGTCTTGCCTGGTTTCTCGGGTTCTCCCAGGGCCCCTGCCCTTCCAGCTGGGCTCCAAGACCACGTGACCGTGCCATCACAGCCGCCAGTAATGATCAACACTGCGTCGAGCGGGGCCCGCCGCCGCCTATAAGAACCCAAACGACGCCCAGCTGGCTTTCTAGAAGGCCAAACGGGGGGACTCCGAAGAGTTCCTGAGAGTTCGGCCCCCGGGGCCCGTTATCGGACCCTGGGGCCATCATGACACGGATCCGCGACGAACACCTGGCCCTTGCGGGTGAGGTCGGGAGGTCTGGGGCCGCGGAAGGGGCACAGTCACATCGGAGGATGTATGGGATGACTTGGCATTGCTCGGACGTGTGTATTTTCTCTCGGCGAGGACCCTCGAGAAGCATCCTGGATCATCGAGCTGGAAGAGACACGCACACGCGCGCACACACACGCGCGCACATACACATGAAACCGACAAACATGCAGGGAATGGGCGTCCGCACGATGGCAAGATGAGGGCAGGCGGCCGTGTTGCAGGGCTCTCTGCCCATCACCCTTTTGCCGCCACAGGGGGGCCGCCGAGGCCCAGGTGTGCCCCCAACGACTTCCCTGGCGCGGCCCCCAGGATTCGCCAGGCCGCTCTACGACGAGCCCCAAACCATCCTGCCGATCGCTCCAGGCCCTTCAGCCCACCCACGCGTAGCCAGCCAGTAGGCACCAATGATCCTGCATGGAGCGATCCCTGCCCGAGATCGCGAGGCGGAGTCCCCAGGGAGCACTGGCACACTTCGGGCCTGGCGGTCGCGGTAATCATGCAGGGTATGTGAGGCGGCTCGGGAGCCCTTTCCTTCGAGTCCAACAACCCTAACCTCACGGGTGGGGGGGAATAATTCCGAGTGGGCTTTCTGGCAAGCACCTGGGGGACCGCCGCTCCAGCGTGAGACGTCACGGCCCTGAGGGCCAGGTGTCATGCCGCAACAATGGTCGCATGTTGTTGCGCACTCTCCTCTTGGGCAGCGGACTGTTTCATGTTACATGGTGCGGCCCTTTCGGCCCTGAGGAGTCAAACGTCGCAATTGATGGCCCTTCTCTAGCCCTCGGAGCAGCGTGTCGCATATTACGGCCCTCTTGAATCCAGGAACGAGCGTTGCCACATGTTTCGGCCTTCTGGGTAATTGTCGAGGTCGAGCTGCTCCGGCATCTCTGGGAGGACTTGCCGAAGGCACATGGATACACATACGTTTGCTTATTGCTTGTGTTTCCCCTCTCTTTCTCGCCTTCTTTTTTTGTTTTCTCTCTCTCTCTCTATATATATATATATATATCCTTGGATCTGCGGATACGGGGTGTTGGGGTTGCTCAGCAGGTCCGGTTTCGAGAACACTTGCAGGCCAATGCAAAAGCCCGTTTCGTGTGCTAATGCCGCACACCGAATTTGTATTCGGGGATCCGCTTCCTGTTCAGGGGAAGTGGACATGTGTGCTAGGTTTTGGGCTCGTTGGCTCCCTTAGTGGCCTATGGTGCCTTGCATATATACATGTGTTTGTTGAATGCCTGGTGTTCTGCTCGTGTGCACCGTGGGCGCCCTCCGGTGGGCGTCTTCGGTGCCCTGTGGTTCGGCCTGAAGGGCACCCCGTAGACGTTCTTGGATGCTTCATGATTAGCGCCTTCGGGGACCTATGCCTCATCGTGCACCACATACATATGTATATGCATATGCTATACATACGTCCCCTCAGCGAGCGCGCCATATCGTTTGCCCCACGCAGACTGCACAACTTGGATCGCACCCGACAGATCGCACCAAGTAGAAGAGGCACAAGGCAGTCTAGATGAGAAATTGGCCTGCCAACGGGTTCCCCACGGAAGTCTCGATAGAGGATGTGCCCCTAGATTTCTTATCATCAAGATTTCTTATCGTGTTTGCCTACTGTTGACTGCATCACATGGGGACCCCGCTGCAACGCTCGCTCTGCCTTCACAACGCACTCGAGGACGTCTGCGCCATCCTCGCCGAGTTCGCGCAGGTCGCCGCGACGGACGACGGAGACGGCGACCCGGACGACAACGAGATCGCGGTGGACATCGCGGAGGAGATGCTGCGGCAGCTGGAGGAGCTGTACCAGGCATGTATGGAGTCTGCGTTCGTGAAGCACCACGAGTTTATCGGCTCTAGCGTATCTGCGGGGCCTCGCCTTCTGCCGGTGGCCCCGTCCGGCATCCGGGCCGCCCACGCGGGGCCCGAGCAGATCATGAGGTCGGAGGATCGCGCCGCGTCGGCCGATGCATCGGCGATGCGGCGCGATGTGGATCCTGATTTTCTTCACGCCGACCGCGCCGATGCATCGCCGACGCCTCCGATAAGTCGGCGATGCGTCGGCGATGCGGCGCGATCGATCCACTGACTCCAGCTATTCGCGGGATGCTTCTATGTTTCGGCAGGGTTCGTTGGCCGTCTTTGGCTCGGCATGCGCGTCAATATTGGGCAGTTCTGGGACGTCGTGAGGTCATCTTGGAGCTCTCCAGGGCATCTGGTCACCGTTTGTCTAGAGACCCCCACCCCCACTTCAATCGATTTCGAAGGCCAAAACGGCCAATGTATCTTGACTGCCGCGTCCACGTCTCTGTCGTCCGAAAGCGTCATCGGCGCGTGCAGCGCTGGGTGGACACGCTAGCTTGGCGCGCATTAGCGTAAGATGAAACGACATACTCCCTGAGTCATCATTGTCATTGCCTCGCGGTCGGGTCTGTCACCCAACGCCATCGAATCGTGCGCCCGCATGGGTCATCATCACGATCAGTATTGTGTCACTGGCCAGCTTGCCTTAATTGTTTGCATTTGCGCTGTCGTTGTTTTGCCCCGCGCGCCAAACGCATGGGCCAACCGCCGTTTTTGTTTTGCAGTACGGGCGTGTACATTGCTGTTACGACCAAAGCAGGAAGGCGTCGTGCGCGCGCGATGATCGCCCAGAGCAGGACCGCTTCGGGGAGTTCATTCTTGGTCTTTGGAAAGTGGTTTAACAAAAGGTTCCCACGGTCAAGAGTTGACGGGTCACGAAGGAGAAGAGCAGGCAGGCCATGAGGGCCGCCCTGATCTGGTTTCTCGAGGCTCTCGGCAAAGACAGCGAATGGATTATGAAGATCGACGGTTCTTTGCAGGCTGACTTAATCGGGGGCAACTGTGCTGCGCCTGATACCTTGGTTTGGCGTTTGACGTGAAAGTGTACCGCGCCCCCCAACCAGGTCAAGACGAAGGTACTCGTGAAGGTTTCGGCGGGGCGGATCACCGCTCGCAAGTTTAAAACGAAACTGGAGCATGATGGCACTGCCATCCAGTATTTGATGAAGTAAAGTGGTGTCGGAGGTGCTCTTCCTGGATCGCATGAAGCAGATCAGCGACAGGTGGCGGGAGTGATTCGCAACACATGTGAAGAATGGGAGAGTGATCTGGCACACTGGTGGCGTCTACGCGATGGAGTGGGACGGCGGGTTCGCCAAAGGGGCGGTCCACATCTTTGGCGCTGCTGTCGCCGCCGCCGCTTTGCTGGCCCATTTCGAAAGTCAGCCGCACGTCCGCGTTTGAGCGCCCGCACTCGGACGAGGAGGCGCTACTTCACTCCTCCGACAGCACCATGATTATAATATTGCAGAACCGTTCCGCCACGAGCGCCGGCCCGAATGAACGTTGCATTCCGCAGGACGACAAGGCGGCCAACCACCCGGGCACATGCGCCAACCTGGGCCGCGACATGGCAGAGGGAGCCAATTGCGACACAGTCGCCGCTCTCCGCAGCGCCCCCGGCGCGCCGGTGCAAGTCTGTAGGCTCTCATTTTACGGCCGCGCCAGTGCTGTTGAGCGAAACTCTGCTTGCGCGGTCTTCGTGAACGCCGACAGGGGCAGTTCTTCAGGGAGCATGCTGGCAAATCGACAGAGAATGACATCCCGGGCTCTGCGCGTTCACGCATGCTCCATTACTTGTCATTCCGGCAGCGGGCAGAAGTCCGCGACATCTCGTCGCGCGGTCGCGCGCCAGTGCGGGTCCAGCGCGCGCCTGCCATTGGCAAAGCAACGGGCGTCTTGCTGGCCCCGCTCGTCGGCGCCGCCGCTCCCCGCGCGGCTTCAAAACGTCCCCAGCGCGATCTGAAGCGGCCCGAGTGCCCGAGCTGGCCCCGACAACCCCCAATGGCCACCTCACTTGTCCGCCAGCGGGGCCCCGGGGAGCTTTTGGAGCTACCGCGAGATCACAAGCAGCACCGAAACCAACCAGAGGGACCTTGACATGCTCAGAGCGATGCGTGCGGCGATCCGTCCATCAAAAGTCGTCTGCAATTGATATTTGCTTTTGGTGGAACATCGCAACTTGTTTTCTGGCCCTTTTGCCGCGCGGGCAACAATCCCCACCGCTCACAATTGGCGTCGACGACGTGCGAGGCAGATTCGACGCTGCGACGGCGAAGCGAAAACATTGCAGACGTGCGTCTCCGTAATTTTCACGGCTGGCACCCCCGCCGGGCCGCCTCTCACTCGGGCCGTCGAAGCGCAGGCGTGAGAGGCAGGCCCCGCCCCCCTGGCGCGTTCCCGCCTGGCCTTCCGGGGGGGGGGAGGCGCGGCGGGCGGGGGCGCCGCCGGGGGGGGGCGGGGGGGGGGGGAGGCGAGCGGCGCTCGCGAGCGCAACGCGGCGGGAAACCTGCCGGCACCTGGGACGAAACGACCGCGACGCTCATCAGAGGGCGGTCTCGCACCAGCGCGTGGACAATGGCGAAGCACGTTTTCCGCCGGCGCTATGGAGAACAGGGGCGCGCGATTCCGGCAGTTGCGCCAGTTCTGCCATGGTGGGCTTAGGCCCCAGGAGGGTCTTTCGACCATTGGGGCGCCTGCGTGGCGGGGGGCAAACGAACCGCGGCGCGCGGGGGCGCGTCGCTCGATCGATGAAACGGCGGGCGTCGTGCCCGTGAAAGCCTCCGTCTGTCTGCGCTGTCCAACCGTTGGCGCGCGCGCGCCCCGTCTCGGGCGCCTGCTTCGTGCCCAGTGCTGATTTTCACGTCGGGCCACGTCCTGCCCTTCCTCCTTGCCGTTGTCTGTCCGCGTCGCCGCCGCCGCTTCGTCCGCGGGATCAGCCCCTCCCCCTCGCCTCTGGCGCCCCGATCCCCCGCGCGCCTGGGGGGGCAAGGGGGGCGCGGTCGGGGGGGGGGGCGGGGGCGGGCGGGGAATCGGGGCATGTCGGACTGTCGTGAGCAACGGTTTGGATCGGCTTTCCCTAGGTAAACTGATACACGCGCGACGCCAGAGGGCCTGGCAGGTTTTCCCAGCGCAGCTGGGGCGACATTCGGGGGCGGCGGTTTCAGCGGACCAAGGCCCGGCCGAGCTGCCGAGCCAAATTGGCCGAGAAGTCACTGGAGAAGGTTGGCGCGGTCGCCTCGCCGAGTCGCCCCCCCTGGCTGGCGCGGGCGCGCCGCGGGCGCCGCGCGCGTCGACGCAGGTGCGTCGCCGGTTTCTCTGGGCGCGCCTGCGCCGCGCGGGGCGCGACGCGGCGAGGTCGTCTCGGGGCGCCGACGGCGCCCCGGGGCCTCGAGGGCCCTCCTCGGGCAAGGGAGGTGGGCCAATGCGTCGCCGGAGCGCGAGGCTCGGCGCCCTTGCGGGGGGGGGGCCGGGGCGCCGCTGGACGGGCCTGAGGGGCCCCCGGGGGGGCCGCCGAGAGGGGCCTGATTGGGCCCCGAGAGGGTTCCAGAAGGCCCCCGCGGCGGGGGCCCTTCGATCAGCAGATCGCGCGCGCGCGGATGCCCCGGGAGTTCGCGCAAGGAGCGGGGCCCGGAGAGGGGCGCAGGAGGGCCCGAGAGGGCTCCGAGAGGGCCCCGCAGAAGCCCCGCGGCAGCGGGGGAGCGCCGGGGTCGGCCGCGCGCCCGATGAGCCCCGCAAGTTCAGCCGGGGGCTTAAGGATTCCGAAAGCGGGTTTTGAAGAGGGCCCCAGGCCCAGGAGGGCCCCAAGAGGGCCCCGACAGGAACCCGAGAGGGTCCGAGGGCCAGATGCGTTCGGGAGGCGTTTTGGAGCCCGCGCGGGGCCCCCTGGGAGCCCTCTCGGGGCCCTCTCGATGCCGCCCTGCCCCTCCCGAAGCTTCATCCGCGCAGCCGTGCGGCGCGCGTGAGCATGCTCTCCCAAGGCGAAGCGGAATGGGCCCAGGCTGGTCAAGGCAGGCCACAGTTTGGACGCGCAGCCTCATCGACGCGTGGCGCGTTATCTTGATGCCCGCAGCGACTTCAACGTCTGGCATGGGGATGCGCGGGAGTTCGTCGGGTGCGAGCGACGCGCTGGGCCGATTTGGCAGGTGGGCGAAAGTTCTTTCGGCTTCGCGCGCCCTGCTTGCCTCGGCGAGTTAGCGGGGGGCGACGCGCGCATGGCGGAGGACGTGCTGGAGGCCTCAGTCTGGGCATCTGACATCGGTCGGTGCGCGCTGGTTCGCGATCAAAGATCAGTTCGCCTCGTCGGCCCAGAGTGCGGTCGTTTCTGGACGTGGCCAGCGCGACGCGGATCGAAATCCTTCTACATGACGAAGAACGAGCTGCCCACGCTGATCTCCCGGATCTCGCGCAACCGCAGGCGGCTCCACATCGACGGGCACGGGCGCCGTCAAAGAGGCGCTTGACGAAGCGGGATATGCTCTTGAAGTGGTTCGTGTCGTCGGTTTTCGGCGCGCAGCGGCATCGTCGGCGCCCAGCGGCGCTGCTGATCGGGGGGGGCGGGGGGGGGGGGGGCGCGATGGTTGCCGGCGGCCTGGCAGGGCGAGTTCACGCAAGGCCGCCGCGCGGATTGCCCGGTCGCTTGCTGGCCTTCGCGAGGCCCTGCGTCCGCGGCGAGGAGGTTGGCGGCCTGGGTCGCGAGGCGGACAAATTGGCGCGGTCGGCGGTCTCCCGCGCATGCTTAGACGCCTGCTCGCAGTGCCACGTCGCGACGACTCTCCTGAAAGCTGCCAATATCGCATGGGGCCCTCGTTTCTCAGCCTCGGACATCGGCCGCCCGCGCCCCCCCGGGCGGTGCGCTGGCCGCCGTGGCTGGCGAGGACTTGCGGAAGCAGAGTGACCCGCTCCTGGAGGAGTGCCCTCTTGTCCGGATACGCAGGAGCTACCTTCCCTCGCTGAATTCGCGGCGTCCGCCGCCAGCCCCTCCGAGAAGCCAGCCGGGGGCATCTCGGGCCAGACGGTTGACTCTGTAAAGGGTGTCGTTGACAAGAGCCGGATAGGTGCCCTGGGCAAGCAGTCTGGCGTCGTGGCGTTGCTCGACAGCCGCGGCTCCCCCGTGTCCTCGCAGGCTTGCCGCATTTCGCATCGGCGCGACTCGGGGGCGAACGGCGCCAATAGAGCCCAGCGCAGGAACCGGCCGTTTGAGCCAGCGCGCCGCGAACGGCAGGGCCCGCGGCGGGCCCGGGGGCGGAAGCATTGGGGGCGAATGAGCGCTTGAATCGGGCCCTTCTCGCCAGCGCAGGACTCGTCAAACTCCCGTCGCGCGTTTTCAGCCCCCAGTTGAAAGACGACTGCTTCCGCGAGGCGAACACGTCAGCATCGGTTCTCAGCGCTCTCATAAACTTCGACCAGACGGGCTTCTCGCGCAGCATGCCGGAATCATTCGGCAGCCTTTGCGCGCGCGTTGGGGGGGGGGGGGGGGGGGGGCACGATCCCTGTCGCATAAAACAACGCGGGTCGCGCGTCGGCCGCGCGCGCGTGCCGGACCTTCCAAAACCGTCGGCTCCGACCCGAGGACATTATCATCGTCTTCGGAGTATTCAGCATCGGCGCCGTCATCGGCCTTGCCGTCGTCACCGTCACCATCGTCACCATCATCGCTATTATCACAATCGCGTCGACCGTTGTTGGCCTCGCCGCGGTATCGCGCCCGCCGAAGTCTTCGACTCGCATTGAAGTGCCCGTTGGGAAGTGCCCAGAAGTCAGCGCCACCGCAGCCGCGTCGGTCGTGCCAAACTAGCTGGCCGCCGCGCGCGCGAGCATGCGCAGGCATGCGCGGCCGCGGATATGCACCAGCTAAAACCACTCTCATCGCAGTCGCCGCCGTTTGGGTTTTGCAAGTGGGCGGGCGGGGTGGTTGCGCGAGCAGCGGAGCTGGCGACTACAAGTTTCCAAAACTTATTTCTCTTCGTAAGAAGACAATAGACTCTACCCCCCTGGGATTATCGGTTCCCCTTCTCGCATTGCTATTTGCATGCGATTCTGCTCCATCGTCCATCCGGACTTTGAGTTCGTACCATCCCACGGGAACCAGCATCGCCCCCCCCCGCCGTCCTCTGCAACAAATTCTAGAGGCTTCGCGTAGCCCCACCAGCCCATCCAGAAACGATGCCCACAAGAAATGCCTCGATCAAGGAAATGTACAGCACGCAGAAGAAGGGCCCCCCAGTGGAGGCCTCTTGGAGCGTTTGGGGGGCCTCTTGGCGGTCCCGGGCGCCTCTTAGAGCGTCTTGGGTGCTTCGGATAATTCCTTGGGGCCACTTGGGGGTCTCTTGGGGCTTCTTGGAGGCCTCTGGGGCGCCTGTCGGGGCCTCCTGGGCGCCTCTTCAGGCCCTCTTGACGCGCGTGGAAGCCTGGGGAGCGCTGTTAGAGTCCTCGTGGGCCATCTTGGAGCCATCTTGAAGCCTCGGACGGCCATCGGAAGTAAAACGGCGAGAGAATGCCCAAAACATTGATGCCCCCTGGGTTTTGGAAGGAGTTTGGCTTCTCCGGGGCCTCCTGGGAAAGCTCTTTGGCCACTTGGAACCGCCTTGGAGCGGCCGTGGGCCTGCTGGGGCATCGCGGGGGCCATCTTGAGGCATCTTGGGATATATTGAGCCGCTTTGGAGGTCATCTTGGGCTCTCCGCGCTCTTGGAGTCATCTAAAGCAGCGCCCCCCTCCCCCATCGGGAGGCCAACGCGTGGCCAACACTTGAATGAAATCAATGATTTTGGCGTTCTCGCCGAGGCCTCTGCAAGCGTTTTGGGCGCCTCTGGGGGGCCTCTTGGCGCCTTTTGGGGGTCTCTTGGGAGCCTCTTGGGGGCGTCCTGGGGGCCGCGTGGAGCCCTCTTGGGGCCACCTTGGCGCCTCTTGGGGCCTCTTGGGCGCCTCCGAGGGGGGCCCTCAATTTTGGCCCCCCTCGGAGAGGCCAGAATAGGGCCAAAACCTGGGTAGAACCAATGATGTTGGTTTCCTCGCCGAGCCATCTTGGACGCCCCAACCCCTCGCGGGCCGCCCCGTCCAGATCTGGGAGAGGGGGTCGGGGGAAGGGCGCACCCCTGCCCGAAGGGGAAGAAGGGGGTGGAAGAGGAGACACCCTAAACCACCTGCGCCCAGAGGGTCGGTGGGATTTTATGCGCGCGCACTCGTTTGTCAGAAAACGCATGTATCCAATGATCCCTCGCAAAGAACGGGGCGAAGTGCACGCGCGCGCGCGTCGTCGCGCGCGCATGCCGAATTCGTTTTTCATAGATAAAATTGTTCCAGTGCGACACTACCTAGGAGTTGGAGGATCTAGGACAGCAACATCTGTATGAAGCTAAGCTAAGCTAAGATGGGGTTAAGCTAAGATGAACTAAGCTAAGCTAAGATGAGATAAGCGACGCTAAGCTAAGGGAACGTCACTGGGGGAACCGCTGAGCGGATGCTGGGGGAACCGCCTGGGGCGAGTTGCACTGCCCGGCCCTTTAAGCACGCCGAGTAAGAACCCTTCTAGGCAGTGCCTAGGTAGGGAAAAACGAATTCGTAAGAAATCTGCAACCTAGCGTCAAAGACCTACAATAACATTATGTTTCGCAGTGCTGGTTTTCAAACAACAAAAAAACAAAAGATGCGCGGGCGATGCGTCCTTGCAGCTTTTACAAACAAAAAAATCGTTTTTTTCCAAAGGTTCAGAACGTGCTCTCAAACGGGCTCCGCGCGCGCATGTCGGAATCGTTCGAACGCCCTTGCGTGCGTGCCGTCGCCAAAAATAATTTGCAGCATAATGGGCGAAGTGACGCGCGCGCATGCCTGAATCCGTCAACAACTTGTGGTTCCATCGCGATTTCAAAGCCGAGTGCCCAAACAACACGCAACACCCTATGGTTTCGTAACCTCAGTTTTTAAACAACAAAATCGCGCGCTCGCGCTCTTGCGAATTCTCGCGGAAATTATCAGTTTTCAATATGTTCATCGAATTCTGCCAAACGGGCCCCCTTCCCGCCGCATGTCGACATCATTCGCACGCCCTTGCGCGCGTGCTGGGGGGAGAGGACCCGTGACAAATAGCACCATGCGGGCCACTCGCGCGTCGGCCGCGCGCGCATATGTCGCAATCTTCCCGGAACCTGCATCACTGACGCGAGGGCGCCGTCATCGTCGTGGGCGTGATCAGCATCGGTGCCCGCACTGGCCGTGTCGTCGTCGCTGACAGCATCGTGGCCAGCATCGCTACTATCATCACCGTGTCTACCGTTGTCGACGTTGCCATGATACCGTGCCCACCAAAGTCGTCGAGTCGCACTGAAGTGCCCGTTGGGATGTGCCCAGCGGTCAGCGCCACCGCGGTTGCCTCGGTCGCGCCAAAGTAGCTGGCCTCTGAGCGCGCGTGCATGGACGGGCTGTCGCGGCCGCAGACATGCACCAGCCAGCACCAAGCACTCAACGCAATCGCCGCCGCATGGGGTTTGCAATCCAAGTCGCGAGCGGGTGAATGGGATGTTTGCCTGGGCAGTGGAGTGGACAATTTCATGCGAACGGGGGGCATTTTTTTCCTAAAGGAAGAATAGACCTTACCCTCCTGGAGTTAACCATTCCCCCTGGGGTATTGCGGTTTTACATTTATTCTACACAAGTCCATCCTAAATATGAATTCAGACTGCCCTAGCCAAACTGGTATCACTCCCCCCCGCCATCCCCTGCGACAAATGCGATGCGCGCGCTCAAGAATCCCTGTCAACAAATATCCATGGCAACGAATATGACGAATTGTGCACGCGAGCGTCGTCGCGCGCGCATGCCGAAATCCTTCAAGAACCTTCGTTTTCGGAGAGATTCCAAAATTGAGCTTTCAAAAAGACATACAAAAGCACACGGTTTCGCAATATTGGCTTTCTCCAAAATTTACGCGCGTTTTGCGAAATTTCAAAAAGCTATAGATTCTCAACCTTTTCAAAAAATGCTACCAAATGGGCTTCGCGCGCGCATACCGAAATCTTTCGAACGCCCTTGCGCGCGTGCCGTCGCGAGTCCTCTGTAAAAAATGGAACGACGTGCTGACGCGCGCGTCGTCGCGCGCGCATGCCGAAATCCTTCAACAACCTTTTCTGGTTTCGGAAGGATTTCAAAATCGTATGTCCAAAATAATACTACAAACACGCAACGTTTCGCAACACAAACGGGTCGTCGTCGTCGTCGCCGTCCATCCTCCTCCCTCGTCGTCGTCGTCATCGCCGTCGTCGTCCTCTGTTTTTCCCCGTCGTCGTCGTCGTCTTGGCGTCGTCGTCGTTTCCGTCGCCTTCGTCGGCGTTTCGTCGTTGCCCCGCCTATTTCGTCGCCGTCGTCGTCGTCGTCGTCGTCGTCTTCCCCCCTTCCTTGTCGCTGTCGTCGTCGCCGTCATCGTCCTCCCTCCTCCCTCGTCGTCGTCGCCATCTTCGTTGGCGACGTCGTCGTCGTCTTCGTCGTCGTCGGCGTCGGCGTCGTCGTCGTCGGCGGCGTCGTCGTCGTCGGCGTTGTCATCGTCGTCGTCGTCAGCGTCGTCGTCGTCGTCGTCACGTTGTCGTCGTCGTCGAAGTCGTTGGAGACGTCGGCGGCGTCGCCGTCGTCGTTGTCGCTGTCGTCGTCGGCGTCGGTGTCGTTGCCAAGTGCCAGTTGGTACCCACCGTCACGGTCTTAAGAGGTGTTGTGACCAAGTTGCGGGTGGGAGGGTGGGATGTTTGCACGAGGAGTGAAGAGGATAGCTTCATCTTGAGCAAGTGATTGATTTGCACCACGTAGATTCTATAGGCTTACGCCACATCCGGGACTGCATGTAACTATTGCGCCTCCGGGACTGCATGTCACGAGGCTTGTTCGAATCATGACAGGGCGCGCGACATCGTTCCTGTTGCTTCGTTGCTGTTATCGTACCTCTCGGTGCTCTTTTGTTGTATTTTGGTGGCATCTTGGCCTGTCTGCAGGCCATATCCGGTCGCCTCGAGGCATCTTGTGCCAAGTTTTGGGCCCTTTTAGGGGCTTCCTGGGGGCTTCTTGGAGGCCTTTGAGGTTCTCTTGGGGGTCCCTCAGGGCCTCTTGGGCTGATCTTGGGGCAGGCTGCGGGCGTCTTGGGGCCGAAGGCTCGAAAAGGTGCCCTCTGGACTCCGTCTTGGAGCCGTCTGGGGGTCCTCTTGGGCTGTCTTGGGGGCTTCGTGGGCTTCTTGGGGGCCTCTTTGGCCGTCTGGGGGCGATATTGAAGGTTTCTTTGCCCGTCTGGGACGTTGTCAAAACCGAATCGGCGAGCATGCGAAAACTGCTTCTTTTTTGTGTCTTGAGGGAATGGGATGATTTTTGTTTCTTGGGACCCTCTTGTGGCCCATCTTGGGGGCCTTTTGGGGCGTCTTGGCAGCTTCGGAGGCCGCCTGGAGGCCATCGTGGGCGTCCAGGGGCGATATATCGGCGAATCGTTGCCCCCTGGGACCGTCTGGGGAGCGTTTTGGTGCCTTTTTGGCCAGTTTTGGAGCCCTCCGCTCCCCCGTGGTGCGTTCGGTCCGGGGTCGCGCTGGGCCAGGGAGGAAGGGTTCAACTTGCCGGTTTGGGGTCCAGGGTCGGGAATTATGTGGGGGGAGAATCTCATTCGCCTATAGGGCCTAGAGACCCACAAGGGGTCGGCGGATTGCACCGCCCATGCTGCACCACAAATCCTGCACAATACAGACCGCACAACACTTATCCCACAACATAGAGTGCACCGCGCGTGCTGCACAACATCGGTCGCGCATCGTAGACTGCACAACATAGAATGTGCAGCTCAGATCGCACCGCAAACATTGCACCACGTAGATTGCAACACATGTAGCGTTCCACATAGATTGCACGACGCTGATTGTTAGAAACGCATTGCTTTATGCCCGCGTTGGGTAAACGCTTGAAGTATATGTAGACGGTCCATGTTGTTGTTCTGGAGTTTGGTGGGCCGCGCGTTCAGCAAGAATACCTGATCACCTCTTGGAGCTCAGCACATCCATCGTAATTATCTGCAGTATCGGGACGCCGTCCAGCGCGTGGGGCCCGCAAGAGGGCTGGCGGACTCCTCATCGCAGACGCCTATGGCAACGTTGGCGTCTCTTGGATAGACTTTGCAAAGACTCACTCCGTGCCTGACGGGATGGAATTGACGCACCGCTCTCCTTGGAACCTTGGCAACCACGAAGACGGCGTTCTCACTGGCCTGGCGAATCTGCTCCAGGCCTGGCAGGATGTCATCGAGAAGCTGAAAGTTGATATTCCTGCCTTGCACGCGCTGGACGGCGTCGGCTCCAGAGTGCCGTGCTTGTGCACTAAATGGAGAGAGAGGTGTAAGCGGAAGCGCCGAAGAGAGAGGGCCGCGCATCTGAACCAGCAGTCGGACATGACCATCCTGAGCGCGCTCCCGGCATTCCAAGGAGAGAACGCCCTCAGCGACGGGTCTGCGTTGCGGCACCTGGTCCAGGTGGGGGCGGACGTCGTCGGGGCCGTGGCCGGAGGGACCCTGCAGCTGGCGCAGCACGGGGCGGGCGCGGCAGTCGCTGTCACGACGCGTGGCGTCGAGGCTGCCGTGGATGCCGCCCACGCCGCGAGGATGGGAGGCAGAAAGCCGGACAGGCATGCTCTTCGAACATCCGCAGGCGCTCTCTTCGCCTCCTCTCGCCGCACCTAGAGTCTGCGACCACTTGCGAACCCTACCCCTGCGGGTCCTGTCGACGCTGGGGCATCGGACACCCCCGCTTGGGTTCACCTTGCCGCAGATATCCTTCGCATTCTAAACCCAGTCTGCGTTTCACAAATCAGGCCTGCAGGGGTAGGGTTCGCATTGGTTGCCTACCAGGTGTGTTGTCCTGGAGGAGGGCCAGTCGAGACAACGGCGGCCCTGCCTGGCGTTTCTCGTCCTCTCTGGGCCTTCTGGAGGCTTCTCATCGCCACGGCCTGATCCGCTTCGAAAACCGGGACAGGATGACTGCGGGAGGGGCTCTGGGACAGATTTTGCGCGGGTTTCGGTCGAGCCCGAGGGACCTCTTCCGATTCTTTCAACATTCCCCTCGGACTCATAGGCTTATCAGGACTGCTGGAGACACTTGGCCAGAATGGAGGCTTGAAGGTCCGGGTGCTGGTTTCTTAGCCCTCCTGCAGGTCGCGAGTCTGGATTCTGGGTCGAAGCTCGGGCCCCCAGCGGCCGTTCTCGACGACTCAAGCACCCCTGGCACGCTCTCGGCGAGACGCAGTTGCTGGTGATCACCCCTAGTCTGGAAACCCTTTTGAAATTTTCGGCGACGTTGGAGAATCTCGAACCTCCTTGTGAGCAGGAGGGATGAGGTTTCCATCGTCAAGTTGAAGCGGTCGGTCCAAGGGCGCGGTGACTTCAAATTGACGCCTCGGCGTCAAGGGTTCAGACAAGCAAAACGCGCCAGTGGCGGCCAGAGTCGGCTAGATCCATCTAGAACTGCCAGTCTAGCTAGACAAGCCTGATCAGTTTGACCAGCAATATCAGAAGCACACAGTGTTCTCTGTTTTTGTCGGTCTCCCCCCCGCCAACTTCATACAACGCATGCGGACAGCAAACTGGACGTTTCAGTAGGGTCTTACTTGATTATCCAATGACCATTCGCCCCCTCGAGGCATCCAACGCCCACCTCTCCAGGCAGACCCCCCCCCCCAGGCGGCCTCCTCGCCGCGCACGCTGAGGCATGTGACCAGCGCCTCTGGGCTGGGAGGCCGCTGCGTCTGAATAGCTTTGGGGCCTTTGCGCCCTGCTGCCCCCGCCCTGCGAGATTGTGTTGTTGTTTTAATCCTCAGATGCGTAATGGTCGTTCCCGGGCCAAACCACCCCCCACCCCCTCCCCGGGGGGATAACGGTAACGATCGTACGTGCGTGGGGGGGGTATTTTACCCCTCGCACATGCTGGTGCTCGCGCGCGTACTGTTGCGATCGCTGCGCACTCCCGCCCCGACGTGCCCCACCCCGCCCAAGCGTCGCCGCTACCCTCAGGCCCAGACCCCCCCACTCTGGGTAACGACCGTTACTGGAAACGAGAAATCATGCACATATAGATGCATGTATACATGTCTGTACATACATGTATACAGAGATATGAATATAATGATTCTACCGCTCTCTGCGACCACGTGCCTTCTCCCGCCCCTGCGCTTCCCATGGACGCCGGGGTATTTGTCGGACACCCACGCCTGGGCTCACGTGGCTGCAGACATCCTTCGAACTCTAGAAGTCTGACTTGCAGGGGTACTCCAGGTTCTCCAACACGTCCCCCTCCCATGCGACCCTGTTTGACGGCCCCTTCTGGCCCCCCCTACGCCCACCGCGCCCACCCCCTTCAAGCGATCCGACCCCCCCCCCACGCCCAGCGAAGGACAGCCCCTTCCCACAGTCGACGTTGAGGATAGGGATGGGCAACCTTCCCAGGGTTATGATGTTCCGCCCTACTGCTGCCTCGAACACTAGGCAGAATTGCGAGCACCAAGAAAGTACCGAAATTGGAGGAGTTTCATGTGTTTGGCCCTGGGAAGCGATACTCGTTCGACATTGTCTCGGTACTTTTTCTGCGTGCTCAAAATTATCTAAAGGCTGCCGCCTCTGCCGCCGACCCCAAATTGGGGTATTGTTTTCGGTGTTTTGTGTTGTCGTGTTCTGTAGCTAATGGGCGACGCCGAAGTTGCCAGGCGCATGGCTGCCTTTAGAGCTGCCCGTTCCTGGCCAGGTCTCTGTGTTCACGTGTCCAGGCCGCCCAGGGTGGTATCTAACATGTGAATGTTTGTGGAGGATGTCTCGAGCGAACCACGTGTTTTCACGTGTCCAGTTCGCCCAGGCAGATGTCTAGCATGAGGTGGCACGTTCATTGGCACGTTCCGCAGCGCGTCCCCTTGGCGCGTCCCGCAGTGCATCCCCATGGCACGTTCTCTGGGACGTCGCCTGGCGCGTCCTTTGGGACGTTCCGCGGCGCGTCCTCCTGGCATGTTCCCCTGTCAATTAGTGCTGGGGCAGCTACTATGTGCTCAGGCAGCTCGAGCTTACGATCCAGATCAGTTCGGTCAGGACTCGGATGCAAAGGAGGACTCGATTCACAACCTTGTAGAGCACACCCGCGGCATGACACATCGCAATTCAGCACGGCGCAGCACAGCACAGCCCTCGGCACGGTACATCAAGATCGATACACTCAGCATTGCAGCTTGGCACGTTCCGTGGCACGTCCCGCGACGAGTCCCCCTGGCACGTCGCGCGGCGCGTCCCTTGGCACGTCCCGTGGCACGTCCATTGGCACGTTCCGTAGCGCGTCCCCTCGGCACGTCCCGCGGTGCGTCCCCGTGGCACGTCCCTTGGCACGTCATTTGGCGCGTCCTTTGGGACGTTTCGCGGCGCATCCTCCTGGCATGTTCCCTTGTCAATTAGTTCTGGGGCAGCTACTAAGTGTTCAGGCAGGTCGAGCTTAAGATCTAGATCAGTTCGGTCAGGACTCGGATGCAAAAAGGAGGACTCGATCTACAACGCTACAAGGCACAATCTCGGCATGGCACATCGCAATCCAGCACGGCGCATCACAGCACATCCTTCGGAGGATCGATAGGTGGTGCTCTCGGGGTGAGAATGCTAGACGAGGCAGGGGCCGGGTGGGGGGCGTGGGTAGGGTCTGGGCGAAGAATTTGTCGAGTGATGGGTCCCAAGAACAAAGTTTTCTCGGGGTGAGAATGCCAGACCAGGAAGGGGCCAGGTGGGGGGCGTGGGTATGATCTGGGCTAGAATTTGTCGAGTGGGGGGTCCCAAGAACAGAGTTCTCTCGGGGTGGGAATGCCAGACCAGGAGGGGGCCAGGTGGGGGGCGTGGGTAGGGTGTGGGCGAAGAATTTGTCGAGTGATGGGTCCCAAGGAAAAAGTGTTCTCGGGGTGAGCATGCCAGACCAGGAAGGGGCCAGGTGGGGGGCGTGGGTAGGATCCGGGCCAGAATTTGTCGAGTGGGGGTCCGAGAACAGAATTCTCTCGGGGTGAGAATGCCAGACGAGGGAGGGGCCAGGTGGGGGGCGTGGGTAGGTTTTGGGCCAGAATTTGTCGAGTGGGGGGTCCCAAAAACAGAGTGCTCTCGGGGTGAGAATGCCAAACCAGGAAGGGGCCAGGTGGGGGGCGTGGGTAGGATCTGGCCCAGAAGTTGTCGAGTGGGGGTGCTCAAGAACAGAGTTCTCTCGGGGTCAGAATGGCAGACCAGGAAGGGGCCAGGTGGGGAGCGTGGGTAGGTTCTGGGCCAGAAGTTGTCGAGTGGGGGGTCCCAAGAGTAGAATTTTGTTGAGTGGAGGGTCCCAAGAAGGTAGTTCTCTCGGGGTGAGAATGCCAGACGAGGCAGGGGCCGGGTGGGGGGCGTGGGTAGGTTCTGGGCCAGAATTTGTCGAGTGGAGGGTCCCAAGAAGGTAGTTCTCTCGGGGTGCATGAGAATGCCAGACGAGGCAGGGGCCGGGTGGGGGGCGTGGGTAGGGTCTGGGCGAAGGGTTTGGTGATGGGCCCCAAGGAAAAAGTGTTCTCGGAGTGAGCATGCCAGGCCAGGAAGGGGCCAGGTGGGGGGCGTGGGTAGGATCCGGGCCGGAATTTGTCGAGTGGGGGGTCCGAGGATAGAATTCTGTCGGGGTGAGAATGCCAGACGAGGGAGGGGCCAGGTGGGGGGCGTGGGTAGGTTTTGGGCCAGAATTTGTCGAGTGGGGGGGCCCCAAGAACAGAGTGCTCTCGGGGTGAGAATGCCAAACCAGGAAGGGGCCAGGTGGGGGGTGAGAATGCCAAACCAGGAGGGGGCCAGGTGGGGAGCGTGGGCAGGTTCTGGGCCAGAATTTGACGAGCGGTGGGTCTCAAGGAGAGAGTTCTCTCGGAGTGAGAATGCCAGACCAGGGAGCAAGGTGGGGGGCGTGGGTAGGTTCGGGACCAGGATTTGTCGAGTGGGGGGTCCCAAGAACAGTTTTCCCTCGGGGTGAGAATATGGAGGGAGGTGTTCGTCGATTTTAGGCGAGAAGTCGTGGGATGGAGGGCTTCAAAAACAAAGGCTCCAAAGGTTGGGGGTGTCGGGGCATGGAGGGGGCATGGAGGGGAGTGTTGGTCGATTTTGGGGGAGAAATCGTGGGGTGGGGGGATCCAAAAACCGACGCTCCAAAGGTTGGGGGTGCCGGGGCATGGAGGGGGCATAGAGGAGAGGTGTGGGCCGATTTGGGGGGGGAGAATTCGCGGGGTGGGGGTGTCCAAAAATCGAGGCTCCCAGGAGGGGAGGTGTCGGGGCATGGAGGAGAGTGTTGGTCGATTTTGGGCGAGAATTCGTAAGGTATGGGGCTAAAAAACAGAGGGTCGAAGGATTGGGGGTGCCGGGGCATGGAGGGGAGTGTTGGTCGATTTTGGGCGAGACATCGTGGGGTGGGGAGCCCAAAAAACAAACGCTCCAAGGGGTGGGGGTGCTGGAGCATGAAGGGGGGGGTTGGTCGATTTTGGGCGAGACTTCTTGGGGTGGGGGGCCACAAAAACAAAAGCTCCAAGGGGTGGAGGTGCCGGGGCATGGAGGAGGGTGTTGGT